ACTTCCCCAAACCTWAGATTTGGGCCATTTATCAGTTCCCATGCTTGTCTACAGTCCGTCAGCTCCCTACAGCTGATTGAGTGTTGACGTCTAATCCAGGCCTGTAGAGCAGTCCTACAGACTGTTGCTGAGGTACCTACAACAGGCTCTGGTCCTTTGAAGTGAGCCTGACTGTCAGCTTTTGCGATGTGCATTATCATAAATGCCAGAATGTCCTGGTACCCATCGAACAGTAACACTGTTAWKTCTCCACAGTTGGTTGACTGCTTCAGCACACTCCCAAGCCATTAATGACGTAAAGTGTGGCTCTTGGAGAGCTTTAATAGCAGCTTGGCTATCTGTTAGGATGAKTATTTCTTTCTGTGTACACTGAAGGTCTTTGAGAGATGCCGCACGCTGGTTGCACATATCTCGACCTGAGTTGAAGTTGCAAAACCACGTAGTGYGTATTTGTACCCTCTCTCTCACTAATGGTTGTGCAAAATCAGCACCCCTGCACCTACTGACCCCTTCAAAAGGGATCCATCTGTAAAACAGTAGAAATGATTGGGAGACCTGTCCGTCGTATAGAGGTTAATCCAGGCAGACCTATCATCTATCTRTGTCTTAAAACTTGGTTCAGAATTGTATTTTTGACTATCCTGTCTCCAGGTCCTGCAGGTCCACCTACCACACTAAACGTAGTCTTATTGCACTGGATACGACCTCCCCTAAGATATGCAAATCTAGTGGAGCCAGGTCCAGTGGGACTTCCATGGCTGCCGTGGGTGTATCGCTCTTGCCACCCCAACTTGAACTCAAACCAACCACACTGAAGCAGCATAACATAGCATAGGGTGGACGATCCATCTGATAACCTTTGGGGTAGCACTCCAGTGACTACCTGCAATTATATGACACTGGTGGGGCACTGGGGATGGGGGTGGGGGGTTACTGTAATAACCATATGTTGGCTGTAAATCACAATTTCCCAGCTTTCAGAAACTGTCAGAATTTTTCCTATGCCGCAAACTATCATAAAGTTACGGTAATACAAAGCAGGAGCTTGTAAAATCTTTATCAGGGGCAACCTTGTATAATGGATTCAAGCTTATTTGTTGAAGTTCAAGTGCAAAAGAACCTTAGCTTGAACATTTATGAGCAGCAATTTATCTAAATGTGCCACAAGCCAAGCAAAATCAAACTCTCCAACTAAAAATATGTTCATAAACTGAAGCAGAGCACAAARATGGTCCATGAGGCCCATTTAACCGTCTCATTTTCAAGCATCTTTGACTTGAAAAGAGCATCAAATTTTAACTGTGTGTCTGGGAATTTGTGTGAGGTTGTCTGCAATAAAGCTCAATGATGTGTGTGTGTGTGTGTGTGTGTGTGTGTGTGTGTGTGTGTGTGTGTGTGTGTGTGTG